TCCTGCTCGACGTCCTCAACAAAGGCGATAGCATTTTGTAGTTTATGGATTTTTCCTGTGAGCGCGAGGGTTTTGAGTTTGAACTCGTAAGAAAATGAAGTCGCAATCATATTTTCGGTCAACTTGTCTAATTTCTCACTCTTCAACATATCCCGTTCACTATAAGGAAGTTTTAGAATAACGTGCGTAAGCGCTTTGGGAAACCTAAAAATAGCGTCGCGATTATAAAACCTAAGGCAGCGCAAATTTTTGTTTACTCAAAGTGCTTGAGCGCGACACTGCTAGCGCGAACAAGCGATTGTAGTTTTTCGCAGTTTGTCTCAAAGAATGAAATGACTGCCATCAATATTATTAGTGTCTTTGAAAGTGCTCATCTGGGCCACTAAGCTAAGCGGTATACAACTTGGTACCTTCTAACACCATTTCGAAGTATCATTTCAACAATCGTCTACATCGTGTTCGCGGTAACGTTGTCGCGTTTCGTAGTCCCACATTTTGGGGACCATCTTGACAGAAACATTTCAAGTGGTTCATGTAGAAATATCTTTCATTGGAGCTTGTCTGAAAGTGATGTATAGCTTAAGAATACGTTGACAATAAAGACTATTTCACAACATAACTAAATAGCTCGCCGGCACCTTTGCTTTAATTGCATTAACAAAATTTCGGCACCTATTTTTAATGAGAAAATGTGAACAAACCAGAGTTAGAACGATGGAGACTTTTCGCGGAGAGGGTGAGATGTGCGTGGGTTTATACCAATGTGCTTACACGGGACGGGCGCAAACGTAAAGGTGTTTCGGGAACGGGGTGAAAAGGGACAGGTTCAAATGGGAAGGGCGATTCGGGAATTCTCCAGTATGAGCCTCAGTCGGTTCACGAAAGCAGTCTTCCGGAGCTGGTCGCAGCGGTCGTCACGGTGGCCCCTCTGTGTGTGCCGCCGAGTAATTTTCTGCTAGTCGCCCCATTGTTGTGCAACTTCTGTTCTTGTGAAAATGGGCGTGTGGTGCAAGGTGCTATTCCTCCGATCCTATCAACAACGGGCATCGGACGGCATAAAGAAGGGCCGACCCCATCAAGCACCCTACACTCTCAAGATAAAAGGGTGTCAAAAGGTGTATCGTTACACCCTTTGTCCCATATAATACACCTCCAAACTTCAATTCCACGTACACCACCCTACAGTCGAACAGACGGCCCGAAATTTTACAAGGGGCTTGATAGCCGTGTGGTACAATATTTTAAATAGCTAAAGTACGTATCAAAGACGCCATAAAGAAAACACCGCGTTTTTACAGTAGGGCCAAGAAAACCCCGATTAGTTTTCTTGTTGTCAGTAAAACGTACATTAGCTACTTTAATAAGTTGTACCGCACGGCTATCAAGGCGCTCGTAAAATATCTGGCCGTCTGTTCGACTGTAGGGCGCTGTACGTCGAACTTAAGTTTACGGGTGTATTATATGGGACAAAAGGTGTAAGAATACACCTTTTGACACCCTTTTTTTTTTAGAATGTAGGCAAACTCCTGCCGTAACGCCCCCGGCACCCCGTTTCCTTCGCCTTTTTGTACGCTCCTCTCTACGACATCACGTAGTCAGTAAACATGTGAGTAGAGTTCCAAAACGAGTATTTCTTTTTTTCTGAAATGAACCGCCGCGTTTAAATAAATTAGTAAGCTAAAAAAACTTTCAAATTGGGGCGCAGCGGCGCAACCCTTTTGATGGCTTCCTGGGCGGCGTCCCGGGTCGCCTATCCCCGGTCCTGGTATAAAGTCCTGGATATCGAAAAATATGATGCTCTTTTTTTTTCTTTGGGGCTAATTTGAAAGAGCAACTATTTTCTGCGGTTGCGGTCGTCACGAACGTTTACAGTTAGGGTCGATAGGTCCTTATCAGTGCTCCATTTTCTTTCTTTTTTTTACTAACAGTCCCTAAGCCCAGTTTGCACGCTTAATCACGTTCGGAATGTGTCGTTAGCCTACTGTGGTCCTTATTGGTTCATGTTCCCTACACCGCTGCTTCACCTTGTCATGAATAGATCTATCCTTCTTTTCACCCATAAGAGCGTCGCATCTTTTACTATTAATTACACTAAACTCGGTCCTAACATTTCTTCACCAGATAACCTATAATTATATTGTCCTTGTAAGTAATTTTTTTATCAATTTCTTCATGCCCGGACTGATTCGTGACCCACCTCTAATATCCCTGCTTCAAGTGCGCTTGAAACTGGGTTTTAAGGGCTTTAAAAACAAACTCATGAACAAATCAGAGAAATCGGCTCGCAATCTCCAATCTGCGCGTGCCCAACAGAGTGCACTGGTTCGCCGACTTTCTAAAAGAGTTAAATCGGAGAACCCTTTGCAGCATTCCCAAGAAGGGGTATACTGTAATTTAATGCATTATACCCCATTTTCTTGGGAGTACCTCTAAATACTCCAAAGTGTGTATCCGTTCAGATGAGGAGAAAATTTGTCGACACCTGGTGACCTCACTCAAATTAGTGTTTTATTCAATTAGTTTATTGCAAATCCCTTATGGTCGTGCAAAACATTACTACATTATTTGGGAAAAATAGACAATAAAAGAGAGCACAGTCAATAAAACAAGTTTTCAAAATAATGATCATGCAACAAATCTTACAAACTAATAACTCACAAAGATGTTAAACGGTTGTCTGAGTTCATATCCTCGGCCTTTCGCTGTGATATGAGTGATATTCAAATTGGCGCAAAGGTCACATTCGTCCACTTTTGAAAGTAGCCATAACGGTATATCGTTACGTTCGTAGGACGGTAACGAATATCAGTAGCCCGTTAAGTTTTGACAATAGGGAATTGTAGTAGACCGTTTCCGCAGCCCGCTAAGCACCCGGATAGCGCTCCGTAATCCGCCACAAGACCTTGAACTATGCAGACAAGGCTGGCGGCGCGCATGCGCAGCTGCGCCGTTTTCCTCGGGGATACCGTAGCGGAGAGGAAAAACGATCTACTGCAACTCCCTAATCTAACGAGTGACTCTATTTTGTTACATGCTTTCTGTAACGGGCACACCGGTGCTTGGGTTCCACTGGTGCAGAAAACCCAACACCCAACATCGGAGCACGGCCCCTTGAAGTTGACAGTGCGGTGGGAGCTACGCGTTTGACGAACCAGACAACCAACTCGTTTTCATCTCCTGACCACGCACTCTGCGTGGACATGGCTGGGAGCACGGACATGCTCGTGCTCGTAGGTTCTACCACTAAACCAGCTTACGCCCTTTGCACCTGCCACCAATGAAAATGTTTAGCGTTCAATATAATTAGGTAAGTAATTTTGAATGAATAAATTGCACATTATTGATTCGAAGGGCCTGGTTTCAAATAGAATCTTGCTGTTATGATCGAAAACCACTAAAAACACCCACGCTAGAATGATATGAGGCACGCGCAGCATTCTACGACGTTCCGAAGAAATGCTCAATTTGGACGCGTATGTAGGTTTCGGTTTCTTATCGAAGCACATCTCTGTGCCGGCGATCCCGCCCCCCGTGTCTAAGACGCGCAACGTATGTGCGCCGCCACTCATCGCGCGTAGAGAAGTCTACATAAGAAAGCTTCCGGACAGTCACATGAAATCCGCCTTTTTGACATCGGTGCCAGAGTGAAGACGCACCTTCACGAGCAATGCGTGGCGGTGCACGCACGTTGCGCGCTTTAGACACGGGGGGCGAGATTGCCCACACGGAGATGCTCTCCGATAAAAAACCGAAAGCGAGATACGTGTTCAACTTGAGCATTTTTTCAGAACTCCGTAAAATGCTTAGCGTGCCTCATGCCATTTTAACATGGGTGCATTTAGTCGTTCTCAATGATTCCGAGCAATGTTATCTTTGAAACCATTCCTTTAAAACTAATATTTAACAATTTAAGTACGCGGAATTTATTAATTATCCCATTATATTCATCTCTAACAATTTTCCTTGGACAGACCGCTACGGCATCATAATTCTACTTTGTGCCGTGCGTACTTTTTGCAGTAGAACTTTTGCCCGTTTTTTTTTCTGGAAACACCCTGTATGATGTCAAAACAAATATTTTATACGTTTGGGAACAGGACTCCCCCTCCTTCAATTCTGGCGCATCAGGCAATGACAACCACTGTACTGTCAGAGGAGATTAAGACATATTTAGATGGATTATACATATGCAGTTTTTAGACACATAACTATAAACACAATGGAGTCAATTATGCCTTTAGTACAACAAATGCATATGATCCGTCCACTCCAAGAGGAATTTCTAATATTTAAAAGCCTGACGAATTCAAGTGAAACTATACCTCGTTTAGGCTTAGGTCCGAGCGTGGCGGATGTTATGAGCCGAAGGGCCAATGAAACAGCAAAAGAGGCACAAAGCCATGACGAGTTCTCTGCAGTTCATAGGACTATAGGACTAGCCGGTATTCGCCATCTCTCTGTGCGTGCTCCTCCACCGGCTAGTTCTATCAAGCGCAGAGAGCACGCTATGGCTTTGCGCTTTCTGCACTGTTTTATTGGTCCTCCGGCTCACAACATTGTGCGCGCTCGTACCTAAGGTGAAACGGAGTATATATGAACACCAAATGAATAGCACTGAAAGTATGAATATCCTAAATGATGAGAACCGTCTTCGTGAATGCGCAAAAAAAAAAAAGAAATCGTGCAAAAGGAAAACGTACATACGAGCATTACATGTAGCAAGCACATTGAGTGATGTCATCAGAATTCAGATACAAAAACTGGTCAAAAAGAAAAGGACGAAGAATATTACGAAATGAGATAGGAAATTAAACCGAATTTCTAAATCTTCGAGTCATGCATATTCTGTTGCAGTCCTATGAGCCAAGCATTAGTTTCCAGCTTGGTGTCTTAAATAGTTTCGAATATAGCTTTATTTCTCATCTAAAAATTATGTTGACCCTACTTTACTCGGTTGCTCTTATACTTTTTAACATTAGCAATATTCAAGCTTGCTGCTATTGAAAGACTTTAGGTATTTTATAAGTTCGTATATTTATGGTCATGAGTAGGCCGACTTGTGAGGAACGTAAGTGGCCCTACAGACAACATAGACTCCAGGTGCATCACGTGATTAATGACGCTAAATGAATAAAACAAGATAAGGCTTCAACTATTTTCTTTTTCTCGTGTACAAAAAAGAACTCTGGTCCCTTACTCTAAGGTAAATTCACATTTTTTAGCTGTGTTTACGCGATTAGTAAGAGGCGGAAACATTTTGAACCATGCGAAACACACACTGCTCGCAAGTAAAACCCCTGCAGGTCTATCGCCAAATGAAATGAACACACGTCGGAGGTCCAGTATTTCGTTTAAATCCCCTGCACAACTATGATGCACGTTGCTGTTTCGATCAGTTGTGATGCATCTTCCGATGAGTGTGTAAATTGCTATAAGCCGCAAACGCTCTGCTGCAGGTCTCGCACCTGTACGGCTTCTCTCCTGTGTGAGTCCTCTCATGATTAGTTAAGATGCATTTCTGAATAAATGTCCTGCTGCACGTGTTGCACTTGAACGGCTTCTCTCCGGTATGAATTCTTTCGTGATCCGCCAAGGTGCGTTTATGACTAAACGCCCTGCTGCACGTGTTGCACTTGAACGGCTTCTCTCCGGTGTGAATTTTAACGTGAGATATCAAGTGAGCCTTCCGCGCGAACGTTTTCTTGCAGGCACCGCAACTGAAGGGCCTCTCTCCAGTGTGTGTCCTCTCGTGGATGGCGACATTTGCTGCGGAAGTGGTCGAGTAAGGACAGAAGCGGCACGGGTGCTTGTCCGGTCGTCGGTGCGTTTGCGGCTTCTGTGGGCCCGACCGGTTGGTGGGGGGAGAGGTGTCACCCCTGCAGCTGTCACGGTCAAAAGTATCCACCTTGTCGCCATAGCCTGCTCCGTTCCAGTCTGTTGAGATGACACGACAGAGCAAGAAAGGTCGGCGGATTTTTAATTGTTCTGAACATGGTCCAGAATACCTGCATTATGCCGGTGCGGCCTACAGTGGGGAATTCGTTCATTTGAGAGGTTAAAAATGTTCATTCGCAAAGCTTGTAAATGTCTACAGGCGATCGTTTAAGACTCGACTCTGGCAGCCCCATGGTGCTGCAGCTGTGGTGGCTTGCACGTTCTGCTAACCAAGTGCGGAAGGGAAGTCAAGCCGCCGCGGTCGCTGCTGCACAGTGTTGGCGGTAACGTGTTACAAGTAACGTCGTTACCTTTAACGCCTTACTTTTGTTATTAACACGGTAACGTAATCGTTACTTTTCCGAGACATTTACGGGCAATGTACTCATGTCAGTGGGTAACATAATTACGTTACTTATTACATCTTCCGAAAACTTGAAAAATGATGTTAGGACAGAACGAGCGGGTTGCTGGGACAATTAAACTTGAGGAAGAAAACGTTTGTCACTCCCTTCTTGTTTTCTTCCTCAAGTTTAATTGAAAAACGAACACCTGTAATGTTTGCCAGTTTCTATACTTCGTTTTACCTGAAGTAAAGATACAGCTGACGCTACAAGCTGATGGAAATTATCAGAGAGGGAAAAGGGAACAATCATGGTGTTCTCTGTGTTTCTGTACGTGTTCAGTCTTAGCTGAAATAAACACACAAGGCCAAGTGACTTGTGATTTTGACGCTGATTGATTTGTCCGATTAGCTCGTAGCGTCGGCTGCGTCTAGATTCAAGCTGAAACATAGTATGTGATCCAAGTAAATAATATTGCACTCATTCTACATGTTTTCTAAATATTGCCTCTCTTTTTGTCACGCAAAAATTTTCTCTTTAGAAGATCTCCAACGCCCGCGCCCGTCATCCGAGTGTCGAAAAACGCTGTCACCAAAATAAAACAAAAACGCCTGTTACCGTCAATTTCTAAATAAAAAGTAACGCAAAAGTAACGTGCACTACTTTCTGTCGGTAACGGTAACGCGTTCCTTTATTTCACAAGTAACGAATAACGTATCTTTCCTTTTTTGCGGTAACGCCTACAACACTGCGGCTGCATAACGCGGCCTGTACGGAGCGCTGGGTGATAGGGTGTTGACATTCATAATGATCACGACTCTGTATTAAGTAACGCTGGAAGGGTCATTCACACACCCATAGATTATTATGTTACACAAAATAGCATTCAATAGGCTCGTAGAATAATCGCTGTGTTCCTCTGAAACTTGAAAAATCGCTAAGGTACACAGCCATTATTCTACGAGCGAGTTGAAACAGCGAAAAACGCTATTTCAAATCAACATTGCTATGGACATTTGCCTGTCTAAAGCTAAACTTCAGCGACGCAAATAATGCTGTCAGAAAATATTCAATCATTTGAAACTCAGAACATTTATCGGGCTATTTCGTTCATTAAAAATCAGTTATAGTGTTTTGACAGCTACTCGATCAACCGAAACTAAAAGAAAAGACTTTTTTTTTTAATAAATAAACTCAACACGGTACATTTTTGGGATATCAGTCATCAAATATGGTGTAGCAATTGAAACTTCCGAGTGCTCGGACTGAATGTTCCTCCAGTAGAGCCCAGTTTGATTGTTTACTTTCACTTGAGTTGTCGTTCTGACTTTAAAATATAACTCCTTCATCACCCCCTCTCCCCTTTCCTAAGAAAATAAACTTTGCATTGTGCTGTGCTGTACTTTTCTGCTCGTTGCAGGGCGCTAACCTAACCTTACAGAACTTTCCACGCGAAAGAAACTTATGTGCCATATCTGACTCTTTAGAGTTTCCACCTTCTTACACAAAATAGCATTCAATAGGCTCGTAAAATACTCGTTTTGTACCTTAGAAACTTAATAATTTGCGAAGACACAGAGCGATCATTTTACGAGCAATCTGAAACAGCGAAAAACGTTGTTTTAATTCGACATTCGATTGCACATTTGCCAGTCTAAAGCTAAAGGTAGGTGTCACAAATAATGTTGTGAAAAAATATTCAAGCCTTTGAAACAGACAAGCCTTTTTTGTGTTATTTTATTCGTCAAATAGAATTTATAGCATTTGTGATACCTACTCGATCAACCGGAACTAAAGGAAGAAATATAATTTTTGTGATATAAATAAGCACCTCAGCATGGTACATTTTTCCGATATCAAAAAAGATGTATCAATTGCAACTTGGAGTGCTCGAACTAAATGTTCCTTCAGTTGAGCCCAGCTTGTTTGTTTACTTTCACTATAGTTGTAGTACTCGGACTTCGGAATGTAACCCACTTATCCCACGGGAGGAAAACTTTGTGTACCACTTCAGACTCCTGACATTTTCCACCTTCTGGAAAACCAAGCTTACAAAAAGGTTTTTAATTCGTGTGGAACCAACCGTTCATGAATATGTGAGGGTGTGCTAAGAAGGTGCGAGGCTGGATGAGTGTTTTCCCGTGTGCGTCTTCGCATACCTGGTGTTAGTTCTCTGGGCATCATAAGATTGGGGGCAGAAGTCGCACCGCCGTCCGTCCAACTCTGCGGGTCCATCTTGCACGGTTGCCTCCGGATTTCAACTCCTTGGGAGGAGAGCTCCGCGCCCCTGTCCTCGCAGTCCGTTCTTTGGCATTCGTTGTCGGATGCTGCGTGGGAAATTTCTGTAAGGAGTGAAGACAAACTTTTATTTGGATGCATTCTTTTTATGCATACTACACCAACAGATGAGCCCAACCAGAACAAACGCCAAGAACAAGCAAACAGAGACACATCGTGCAGATAAAGTAGAGACATTCAGGGGTTTACATTCGCATTGGGGTGTGATTCAAAAGTTAAAATAATCAAAGCACGAACAAACACGCGCATCATAACTGGATATTGAACATCCCGAAAAGGTCGATTGTAAAAAATGCACGTGAACAAAACTTAAAAGCAATACTTCTCTATTAACCACGTACTACAAATGTTTCACTTCACCTTTAAACACTCGCTAAAGATTACGTCGAAACAATCCCACACAAATCGAGCAAGACACAACTGGATATGATCAAGGAGCATTGTTTAGTTACGTCGCTCCTGCTCTGTAATGCTGAAAAAAGGCAGGCATGACACAAAACCAACTGTACGCTATTCCACCGCCATAGGTTTTGGGAATTACACGTCAACAAAAACGGATACAGTGTGTCGGCGAACAAAGCCATGGAAGGAATAAGAAATGTCGCAAGTAGTTGGCTGAGCTGTGGCCATTCCTCATTGGATCCGACTAGTTGGTCCCATTAATCTGGGGAAGTCTAAGCCCAAAAGTCTGGCACTGCCAAAGTTGAGCTGGGCTGGTGGCTGGCCTCGGTCTGCAAAGTTTAGAAGGATGAGTATTAATAAACAGTCGCCAACACAAAGTTACTTTACCTGCCCTCAAATATCATCACATTGGATGAGTGAAACTAAAACTAAAGGATACCAGTTCTTGGAATTGGTCCAATTGACTATTCATTACTTCATTAAACTGCGCAGTAAATGATTAAGAATTCCGACGCAGAGACGAGAAAAAAGAAGGAAACAAACGGGAAAACGCGCATTTGCAGTTCAGTTTAATCAAGTAAAAAACTAAAGTCCACTTTCGAGATTAAACAGGACATGGATGACAACACCATTTATCAGTAGGAGGGTACCTGCCAGACATTTCAATCTGAGGGACGCGAAAAAAATAAGTACTATGGGACTACACCATTTCCAAGTGTGAATGTTTTGGCCAAATAACACTGACCATTTCTATTTCCACGAGAGATGTTTCATTACATATGCAGCGTCAAACCGCTAGCGAGGAGGAAAATGTGTGCCGGTTCCGTCTGTGCCGCATCCATGCGACTAATGCCACCATTTATAAAATGATATGCAGTGCAGATCAATCATTCAGGCTCGCATTCTGCCAAAAACTAACATAAGCGGGGCCCACTTAGGAAGAACGAGTTTTAGCTGAGATACTTGGTTCACGTTCACGAGTTCCCCAAAAAACCGCATTGGTAAAAAGCATTTTAGATCATCCAGAATTTGATCATAAAACGTTATAAGTTGGTTAAGGGATCTCTATTATAAATTGATCACCATTCAACACTAGTACAAAGTTTCCAGTCCTTATTGCAACGCAAATGTTTGTTTTCTCCTTTTTGTTTCTTCCAACTCAAGACAAGTTTGAGTGGCTTTCTCCTCTTGATCTTAAGAGAAGGTGAAACGCTTCTTCCGAAAAATAAGATAGAGGTTGATTTCTGCGTTGTTTGATCCCGTAATTCTGAAGATTTCGTTTGTTTTCCCCGAAGATGTAACTAAATGCGAGAACACACGAAAGAACTCCGACCAGTCGTTACAATATAAAAGGATCTTTCGGCCACCAAGCGTGTGTCGCTTGTGTGCAATTGCAGGCTTGCCACTCCCCCGCACTGGCAGCAATCATGACGTCTTTTTTTTCCCCCTTTTTGAAAATAGCAAGAGTCGCGCGCATAACTTCGATAGGCACTGAAGATGCGTGAGAGCGGAGATCCCAGAAACTCCTTTTATGATGGCACGCTCCGGGAAGGAGGGGCTTCAGCGGTACTTTGAAAATTATTTTCTGCTGCCTCCGTGCATGAAATTGAAAAACAATTTCAACATTGGGCTTCCTGGAGGGCAAATTAAGACAATTTAACTGTGTTTCCTTAATTACAAAACGGCTTCAGCTTCCCTTTGAAGACGTCTTATTTTCAAGACCGCCATAGCTTTAAGCATTTCGAATCCCTCAATAGTTCATCTGAGGTTTTGTTTATGCATTTTTAACAACTTCTACACACCTCCTCTGTAAAGTCTTCCCGGACCCTGAGGGCATGGTTCAGGCTGGAACATGGCTCTTATTACTGATTTTGTTCAGCCCTGTTCCCCCAACTTTTCAAAACCAACTTTAGGGGTCGGTTTCGGTACCTGGTGAGAGCGATAGCATTCTCGGTTACTGATTGGACCTGACGCCTCAGCGTTTTGCTCTGCGAGAGTTATCGACAAGTGCGAAGTCATGTCACTAGATAATCTCTAGTCTGTTCGCGAATCCTTGTGGTGAGAGCTTCTCACTAACACACGGATGGTGACAGGGTTCTCGAGGTAGTTAAGGTATTTGTCCCGTGTACTACTTACATAGAAGAATTTGAGCTATATAGGGCAGCGGGGCTGGAAATTTGCAGAGGGAGCGCTTGTTGTCGATCTCATTGAACGGGAAGTATAGCAGACCATTTTAGTTTCAGCTTGCGTCCCGTGTCACTTTCTCGTGGCACTCGCCTTTTAGCAGACGGCTGCCTTTATTCCGGTTCGTTTACGGAAGACGTAAAACATTTTCTTGTTTTCTCTTTGTCTGCGAATGACGCTTCGTAGCAGCCGAATTCTGTTGTTCACCTAAGTTAGCAGACTAGTCATCTGCAGACGTTTTCTTGACTCGCTCCGTAAAGATCCGGTAACACTGCTCGTACACCAAGCAAAAAGCAGTGTGCAAATACCATCTGAGGCTCGTTTGTTTCTCGTGTCATTTCATATTGGGCCTACCAAAACTGACTGCGGACGTGTTCAAAGCACACATATGTGTGCTTTGAACAGGTCTGCAGATAGTTTTCTTAAGACCCAATATGAGAGTACGGTCATAAAGGAACGAAGTTCGGCAGTTGACACACTTGTGACTGTTTACGACCGGAGGGGCTTGTGAACCATCTTGTGACTGCTGATGACCGGCCGCTGCGCTGAAGGTCATAAGTAGTCACCAGTGTTTTAAGCATGTGCGGTTGTAAGCATGGCAATAAGAAATTAGTATACCTGCCTTTAGTTGAGCAAACAATAAAGCAAACACGCAGATAGTGCACGCCGTTTCACCGAATTAGAGATAAGACCACCTTCAAGATTCGACATAATAAACCAAAAGTAAGACACACAATTCAGTTTGTCCGCATTAAGGCACACTTTGAGGGATTATACATATTCAATCAATAAATGTATGAAAGGCTTTGGAAGGAGTGGGAGGGGTGGGGGGGGGGGTGAGGGCGTTAAATAGGCAAAGTGAGGTAAGGCAGACAATGGAAAGTTTACACGCTGCAGGCTCAACTGTAGCCATCTCATTTGATCCGACTCTGTCGCATACGTGTAAAGACATAATGTAGCACAAAGACGTTGCACCACAGAAAGGGGACTCGGCTGGTGACAGACCAACTTTCCAAAGCTGCAAAATGTCGTTCACATCTGCGTCCAAATTCCTGCCGAGTTTGATCTGCAAGGTTAGAAAGACGACGGTTAATAAACAGGAAGGAACGGAAAGCGACAATAATTGTTTGTACCTTTAACTACGTATATTCAGCAAGGTGAAACTGGGTGCGAAATTTAAAAAAAAATAACAAGCATCGCAAATGAGGAATGAAAGAGTACAAGTAAGATTTACATTTGAATGAGATGAGTATGCACTGATCACCCCAACCAGGTAATATTCAGAGCCAACCTAGCGAATCAGTACACGAGATGTATCGTCCACTTCAACCCCTGCTATACTATGCTGTGATTGAAATTCTGTTCTCGTGAGTTTGACACGCCGTATTCCGAAAACAAATTGAGTATTAAAACTTGGTTTGGGGCTGAGGCGTGTGAATATGCGACCCATTAGGTTTCAGATTAATGGGGGTGAACGCAGTACAGCTGCGTTTGCATCTTCGGGTGTCAGTCGTCCCAGCTCTTCTTCTTAGATGTTGTTTAGATTTCAATGGCTGCTGTGTGAATCTTCTTTCCTTCGCCGTTCTGTACTGCCTTGGTCGACTGTTAAAGAGACACATCATGTATGAGATTAATAAATTCTGGTGTTTTCTAGCTGAGGAACAACCTTAGGTGTCTACTTCTGCCGGTTGATAACTCCAGTCCTGAACAAGACAACAAGGCTGAAGAGGCAGCGGTAGCTCCAGAGTAGAATCCCTTAATCTTTCTAGGCGGCCCTCACAGAGCGGTGGCAACACTTGCGTCTGCTAACGGAGACGCCACCTTATCTTCCGACACTACAACCTATTGTCCCGACACTACAACCTATTGTCCCGACCAGCCCTTGCTGAAGGATATGAAGATCGACCCTATGCATCAAGTTCCCGTTTCTCAAGAACGGTTCGACAATCGTGTGGAGTCGTTTGTGGTTGAGGCGCTACAGTCATATACTAACAGCTGTCATATACTAACAATGAAAAACAAAATACCTAAAACTAACCTAAAAGCAGACTTGGACGTAGTTCAACTACTCTACTCAAACTACCGTAGTTTAGCTACTTTTTCGAGTAACTTGGTAACTTTCAGTTACAACTTGATTTGGGTAATTAGTAGTTTAATTTAACTACTTTTTTTTTCAGGTAACTTCTACTCAAATTACTAACTACGAAATTATATAGTGATAAATTTGCCCATCACGAAACTTTGAGCGCAGAAATTAATAAGACGCCGGCATATAAAGTGGCATTCCCGAACAAGGGCCCCCCTTTTTCGGGAAGGGTTCCTTGGGCCAAGGTGGCGACGAGCAGCCAAAACATAGCACCGGCACGAACGAACGCAGAAACAGATGCTGAACAAGCCTTGGTCGGGTATTGACCTAATCCGGTAATGCACGCAGGCGCCGCGTTTCCAGCTGCAACCGTGAAAGACGGGGGCACTCTGAGAGTTGTTGTTTTC